CTCTCCCTTCCTCTCCAACTCCAGCTGTGTCTGCTTCCTGCTTCTTTACGGAAGAGGAAGACGACTCCTTATCGCTCTCATCCCCTCCTGCTTCTCCTACTCCGTCCTCATCGCCATCACCATGAGTTTTCTCATTGAGCAGGCTCTTGGCGATCACATGCTGGCGCCACGTGGCGAGATCTCGACAATTTGGCAGGTTCGTCATCCACGATTCAGTCTGGACCTCCTACGGCTCGCACAGTTCTTCAGCACTACCGGGGTATACGCAACGACAGAGTTTCGATTCGCCGACCATCATCAAGCGATCATACTGGCAGAGGCGACGGCGGTTCGACGACTGTCAGCACCAGAAGTTACCCAGGTGTCCGCCGTTGTCATCTTCAGCGGGGACATTAGCGCGATCAGCCCTCTGCGGCACACGCCCATCCGGACGTCGCTAAGGGAGTGGGGACAACAACTAGTAGTAGAATGAAATCAGTGGCTTACGCGCCGCGGCGATAATCTTGTTTCCGTGGACGGCATCGACGTCAGAGGACTCCGTACGTCTCGACATGAGCCCGCGGTGGTGCTTCCTGAGCTCGTCCCTTTCCAGCCGATCCCGACCCTCTACCTTCGCTCTCCCCTCTCTCTTCCCTACCTTCTGGCAGTCTGACCTTTGCCCCCGTCTCTCCTTTCGTCTGGAACCACTTGTCGTTCTGCTTCTCGATTGAAGATAGTGGGAACGGTGGTGCGAACATTTCGTCGATCTTTCGGTGTGTTTGGTCAAAGTGCAGCTGACGTGGACACGAGACGTAGAACACCGTGCTTGGGTCGCATACGTGGAGCTGTTAATTATCCAAGCGTGGAGGACGGAGGTGGAAGGAGACCTTCTCGGATTTTTATTCGGATCGGTGCGTCCCGGCTATCAGCAGCAGATCGTACAGGAACTCACGATTTCCCTCGCGCAGCTGGTTAACGATCTCCCTCAACATGTTATTCGTTAAAACAGTACATTATTGTGTGAACTATTTTGAAAAGAATTTAGGACACATTGACACAGTGTATACTTTGGGGTAGTATACCAGATCCGGCACATCCAAACCAGTAGTGAAATCACTTTCGAGTCTGACGACCGCAGTCGATATGTGCTAAGACACAGTCAGAGTCACTTCCGAGTCGCACTCGGAGTTTAGTACTGGACTCATCCGGATCCGAAGAGTATAATGACTTGAACTAACGCGTGTTGAGGAGCACAATGAGTTGAACCTCTTAACAGACGATTGTGTAGATTTGAAGGCCGCTGTTACAGTAAGTGAGCACATTCCAGCATCAATAAAGTTTGGCATCGGACATATCCAACTCAGACCGAAAGAGAGAGAGAGAGAGAGAGAGAGAGAGAGAGAGAGAGAGAGAGAGAGAGAGAGAGAGAGTCTCGGAGCGTACGTCGAGAGAGAAAGAGAGAGGGAGGGGGAGAGAGAGACACAGAGAGAGAGAGCATGCAGATGATTGTACTAAATTTTCTTCCATCTCCACAGGAGACGCATGGTCGAAGAACAAGCGAAGAGCACAAGTCTAGCTGTACAAGAGCTGCAAGGTTTTCGATAGGCGAGAGTAAGCCAACTTCGGATGTATCCGAGATGACAGGATAGAGAGAGAGTCTGTGGCAAACAACAAATGTGTACTCTACACCGCCAAGAGATCGACAAGACAAGCATCGTACCGTCATCGATCATCATTCGTGTTTTCGATGCAACCGAAGTATTGAATCAATAGAGACATTTTAGTCTCATATCTCCCTATCAGTCAGGGGTACAGTTCAATTTACAAGTGATAGTACCGACTCTCAGGGATTCTTTTCATCACTACATTAAATCTTTTCATTGTATTGTCTACTGCAGAGGAACCCGTTGTGAGAGCGTACAGATGACTCTATTGATTTTTCTTCCTATGTCGAGGAGATGAAAGGTCAAAGAACACGCCAAGGCCGAGAGCCTTGATTTCAAAAGCATGGTGGATGATAGTTGGAGAAGAGCATCAAGTCATGCGATAGGCGAGGGAAGGCCACGGTAGGATGCATCCGAAATAACACACACACACACACACACACACACACACACACACACACACACAAAGAGAGAGAGAGAGAGAGAGAGAGAGAGATCTTTCGGTAGTTGCAAAGAGGAAATGAGCACTCCACGCAAGCTAACATTGTACCATCGTCCACCACATTTCCACAGCAAATAGGAATTGAAATGAGCACTCCACACAGCTGAGAGATGACAAGACAAGCATTGCACCATCACCCACCACGTTTCCGTGTTTCAGATGCATCCGAAGTGACCAATCAATAGAGTCGCTTTGCAACGGACTACACACAGTTGTGTGTGTGTGTGTGTGTGTGTGTGTGTGTGTGTGTGTGTGTGTGTGTGTGTGTGTGTGTGTATGTCTGTGAGAGAGAGAGAGAGAGAGAGAGCTCAGAGAAGGAGGTCGTGAGAAAGAGAGAGAGAGAGAAAGAGCCCATACCACAGAGCAAATGAGCACTCCACACAGCTAAGAGAACGATAAGACAAGCATCGTACCATCATCTACCACATTTCTTGTATCAGATGCATCCGAAGTATCGTATTAATAGAGCCGTTTTAGTCTCCTATGCTTGTGTCGGTTCGGGGCACGGTTCAATCCCGGAAACTGAGGCCTTGTCCAATCATCCAATGTTTTTTTGTTCAGTAGCGCTCTCTTAATTCAAATTTCGTCACTTTCCAGTACCTATCGACGACGCTTTTCGGGTTTTCCCTCCCTTGCTACATTCAATTTTGTCCAATTATGCAATTTTTTTTTGTTCAATAGGGCTAACTTAATTCAAATTTTGTCACTCTCTACCACCCATCGGAGCCGCCTTTCGGGTTTTCCTTCCCTTGCTACATTCAATATTCTTATTGTTTGAATGCTCTTGAACACGGGGAGCTTTTACGGCCCAAAGAATTGACGACATTCACTATTGAAAGAGGCCCGTGCGTTGTATTTTGTGCTTTGTGATGCCTCACAATATTCAAAGCACTGAGCACGGAGGACCAGACAGACCATCAAATGTAGAAAGAGGCTTGTGCATTGTATTTTGCGCTATGTGATGCCTCACAATATTGAAAGTGAAAATGTATTGACGAGTCAAGACAACGTGGAGAGGTGGGAGAGAGGCAAACCATGAAAGATAGAATAAGCAGGAGTTCGGATGCATCCGAGTATATGGACAAAGCATCACACCACACAAGACACCAAATGACGGAAGCAAGAAAGACAATCACGAAATCGGCGCCCCTACAACGGGGATGTTGGTGATAATTGAAAGTCATGTAGAAACACAACAATATGGAGCACAAACACGCCGGGGACGTGACAATTCCACCCGGAGATATCCTGGCATCATCAGCCAATTTAGCTCTGAACCAATGCAAGAACACCTACCAGACTCTCACGCAAAATGAAAAGGAGAAAATTTCATCCGCCGAAGAACGAAATGTTATTCTACGTCAACCCTTCTACAGCACGTGAATAACAAATGGCTAGACGCTCACCTACCAACACTACAAATCGCCAAAACCAGTCTAATTCTGATAGACGAGGTGTGTCTATGGGTGAAACCTAAAGGTGGACGTAAACCTCTCGACAAACAGGAAGCGAACATTAACATGAACACCCCACAACTAGCCTCGTCGCGCTGCTGAGGGACACCTTTCACGCTTTAATTTAATTTAAATTCAATAGATTCCCTGACTGTATTTATTGAATTGATTGTAATTGTATATATAATTGCTTTCTTAGAGGCGGACCTCGTGCGCGAAGTGGTCAAAAGTGCGACCATCACCGGCCACACTTGCCACCGTGTTCAAAAAATCGACAGCTTTACCAAAAAGTGTGGAATAGAAGTCATCTTTGAACAACGAATACGAGAAAGAATCATAGATTCCCAAAGCACATCTAGAGAAGTCAATGGCCAAAAGGCTCCTGTGTTCGTCGCCCTTGTGCACTGGTGCCAAGACGAGGTTATGAGATAGGAGGTCGACATCTTTAACCCATCTGCTAACAGTTGTCGGACCTCGCAGAAGCAATGTAGAGGCGAAGAAAGAGTTAACGTTGTACGTCTTTATGGCAGCGGCAGTCCGACCGCAGTTGTTCAGTAGCATCACCATGTAGAAATTGACAACCTCATCGTTGAGCTTACCGTATCCATCCACGAGTGTGATGATGTCCTTGACCGAGACCTTTAAATTGTGTGACGGCAAACGCGCAGCGATGAAAGTGAGCGGCAACCGAGAGCGGATAACGTCCTGAAGGACTGCTCTTCCATCTGGAGGAACCCTTGTTCAACAAACACCCACAGCACACAGCAAGCACAACGGACGGAGGACTATGAGAAAACGCGGCCCTAGCGACCAGGGTCCGACGAACTGCCACTCTGCGGCCCAAACATTTCACGCATAACGACACCCCTACTTCTGGACCTTCTATACACATTTGATTCTAAACTAGCACTGTGCTTCTTTATATCCTTGCAAGCTTCGATAAGGATTTCCTTGCAGTCCTTCTCGGCAACACCCGCTACCTCTGCAACGAGTTTCGTGAGTAGACCTACTATGGGCACAAGCACCCGTTCGAGAAGCCCCTGAGGCTTCCTGTCCCCATAAAAGGAATCGGCGACATCACCAAGTCCAGTGCCTCCCGCAAACAGGATTGACAACTTCGAGGGGGCAGCCGAGTCCTGCAACATGTGTGTTTGTCCACGAGTTCGTCGCCCTGTACAAGAAATAGCACACCATGTTCGACTACAATAAGCGTCGGACCGTCGGTTAAGACATCCACCGATAGCGTTCAGTTGGCGGTCAGTCCGACACAAGGGACACAACCAAGGCTTATCGCCATTTCTGTACTAGATGCACGAGCCCATGTGTCGACAATCTAGCCATTCCGCATACCCTTCCCCACTAGGACGCATTGAGATCGAGTAGACACGTGAGATCGCTTCACAAAAATAACAAAATTTATCGGGCAGGGAGAGAAAAGATGAAGAGGAGAGGGGAGAGAGAGGAGTTCAACTTGTAGGATTACCTCCGTCACCCATTGCCAATCACCTCCTTCTTGCCACGTGGAAAGAATGCCATCTGTCCGTACTTGGGTCCGTTGGTTGACTCTGGTTCCTTCCACGGAATGATCTCTTCGCCCTTTGGTACCTTAGCGGGGCGATGCAGACGTGTCAACCCGTCCGCGTTACCGTGCCTCTCTGTCTTTCGGTGGATGATGTCGAAGTCGTACTCATGTAGATGCACCGCCCACCGTCCAATCATGCCCATGTAATTGGTGAGCTTCTTGAGAGCCAATAATGGCTCGTGATCGGTTACAAGGAGGAACTTTTGCCCGTACAAGTATGGATGGAAGTGCTGGATTCCCCAGACTACAGCATAGCATTCACCTTGCGGGGTTGAATCGTTCCTTCGTTCGTCTGACACCGTACGAGACGTGTACTCGATGACTCGCTCTCGACCGTCGTTCCCCTTCTGCGCTAGAATAGCGGAAATCGCCTCTGGCTGCCAGTCCGTTATGAGAATGAACTGCTTCGTGGGGTCCGGCCGGATCAAAATAGGTGTCGTTGCCAAAGCGCCTTTGAGGATGGCGAAGGCCCATTCGCACTCTGCATCCCAACTAAGGGGCTGGTCCTTTCGTAGCAGGTTCGTCAGCTGTCGCGCAATCGCAGCGAAGCCTTTGATAAAACGTCGGTAGTGCGATGCCAGTCCCAGAAAAGCTCGAACCTGCTTCACTGACGTGGGGACAGGAGCATCTTTCACCGTCGAGACCTTCCTTGAATCTGGTTGCAGTCCCCCACGTGTCACGACGTAACCCAACAATGAGATTTCCGAGAGAAAAAACTCGCTCTTCTCGAGCGCGATCTTGAACTCAACATCTCTTAGAGTTCCCAATGTCCATTCGATGTGTTGTGCATGTCCGTGATAGGTCTCCGAGTAGACGAGGATGTCATCCATGTACACGATGACGCAGAAGTTGATCATCCCCTAAGTGAGCCACGTCTTGTTGACGAAGTTCTGAAACGTCACGTTCATCGCCCGCTGAAACGTGACAGGCGCGTTGCAAATACCCATCAGGCACCGGACCCACTGCCACGTGCCCTCAAACAATACAAAGGTCATCTTCGGTCAATCTTCCTCCTTAACCAGAATGTGATGAAAGTCATGACGAATATCAAACTTACTAAAATAATTAGCACAACCAATCGCATCCAGCAAATCATCAATCCTGGGAAGGGGGTACACATCTTTGATTGTGATGTCATTTAGTTTGCGATAATCGATGCATATGCGAATTGATTCGTTCTTCTTTGGCACTAATACTACCGGGAACGACCATGGTCCGGTGGCGGATTCGATCCAACCGTTAACTTCAAATTCTCGAATCTGCTCAAGGGCCGTTTTCCGTTCTACCAAGGAGTATCTGTAAGGCTTACAGTGGATCGGGGGATGGTTTCCGGTCTGAATTTCGTGTTGTATGACTAACGACAGTCCAATGTCTGTGTCCGTCAGACTAATCGCTACTTTGTATTCTTTTAAAATTTCCGCGATTAAATGGTGGATTTCATCAGGTACGTATTAGGGCACGTGCAACTCGTACAGCTCATTCCATATCCGTACATCGATGTGTTTCGTACTTACCCGTTTAGCGCTTTCGGGCAGAGGCGAGGAAATAAACGAGTTGTCCGACTGCCATGAGAATACCGTGACCATCATCTGTGCATCCTATTCTCGAATGGCCACGTGTTCTTCCGGGGTTATCCCGTCTCGAATGTTCCGCCAAGGTACTGGTTTCGTCGCAATTTTAATCCCAAGTCCGGTTTCGAGGCGCTCAGGGGGTTCCAAAGAATTGGTCTCGGCCCCTAGGCGTATCAACCGTATCTCTTTTGCAGGCGTCAAGAGAGATCGTGGGAGATTTGTGATGTCGCAATAGTGCCTTTTGTCATTGTATCGTGTAAGTAGAGGGGAGATACCTTCATACAGGGTTCGAGAGGGTTCCAAATAATCGATCATCCTCGAAATCTGCACGAGGGGTTCACCAATAATCATGGCTTGCGTTCTCTGTAGACTCAGGTCGGTCAGTCTTAGCGATCTTGTACTTGCTCGTTGCATAGGATAATGGATACGCTGTTGTGCCATCTCCAGGATCAATGGATCGTCGTCGTCACTGCTGTCCGTTTCTTTTGACGGTTGTCCGTCGTCTGCGGAATTATCCCAGGTGATCATACGGAGGGTTCCCGCCATCAAGGGAGAAACTCGCGGAGTCACATTCGTGGTGGTACTAAGGGTCAATCTCATCAGTACAACATACGGTTTTCCTCATGTATTTAGGAGGAAAATCGATCGTCTCTCGAAATCCAGACTGACTCTCAGGGCCACAAGAGCGGGAAGGCCAAAAAGGATGTCATAAGTGTTTACGTCTAAGACCACGACATCTCCTAACGCATGTACCTTTCCTAATCGAAAAGCAACATTGGTCATTCATCCCACCGTTTTAATCCTCACTTCATCTGCTGAAACGAGTTGGTATTTTTCCATAAGCATGATTAGATTGTTCTTCCTTCTTGCTTTTTCAACTACCCGTAACGAAATAGCCAGAACAGCGGCTCCCGAATCGATAATGGCATTGTACGGAATTCCCCATACCTCGATATCACATTCGGCGGATTTCCATGAAATCGGTTTAATCCGTAGGAAGTGATCATCTTTCTGGATTAATCCTAATCGTATCGGATCTGAAGTTCCTGTTGCATTTTCATCAGACGTCAGATTTTTCGCTTTTGTGCTCGCTGTTCGAGCAAGGGCGAATCGTTTTCGATTCACTTTGCAGTATTGCAGCATTCGCTCGTTGGCTTGTTCCGAAATCGAAAGTAGATGACCGATCGGAAGGGGAATTTGATGGTCCAAGGCTCGAACGATGTTTAGAACATCGATTTCCCCTGTGACGAAGGTGGGTCCCCCCGACTCCATTTCTCCTGGAGAAGGTCGCCATTCCGCCACTTCTCTTTGTTCTGGCGAGGGTTTAATCGTTCCAATCATCCCAAGCCCCGAGTAGCCAAGTGTCACGTACTGATCTAACGGGATTAGTTCAGCATCTTCCTCCATCGTAGCTAATGTGTTTTCGTCTCCTTCCATTTCTTCCATCAAAGCCCCTACTCGTCCAGGTCCGTTGGCGATCGGGGCCGCTGCTATTGGTGCGGCTCCGACTCGTTGCTGTGGGGGTCGATGAGGGCAATCTCGGGCTATATGCCCTGGTTGGTGACATGTGTAACAAACGTTCAGATTGCCCGGGATCCCTGCGGGAGGGGGTGTCGGAGCCAATCCGTGCTGGATCGGGGCGGCACGCACCGCTATTGGCCGCATCGACCTCATCATCGCCTCTATCCGAGCGTTGTGTTCCCGTTGTTCCTTTTTGCTTTCCTGAATCAGAGTAACCAATGTCTTGGTTAGTTCTAATAGGGCGGAAGACTCATTCGGTCGTGAAGGGGTTTTGATCGGGGGTGGAGGTGCTGTCATCACGGGCACGGGCACGCTCGTAATCACACTCGGGACCGGTCGTTTGGGACTAATCTGTTGCAGATAGGTGACAGGGCCCGACACAAACCCCATGTTTTCAAATTTGTTCTGCAATGCAGCTAACTCAGTCGTAACTCTCACTAGTTCGGACGAGTCTCCTTCCCTAGGGTAGTCCTCTCCTTCTAAGAAACTCGCAGCGAACTTTCGTTCCATTTCTTCTACAGCGGTCATGATTTATTACAGCGTGTGGTTGATGGGGGAGAACTGTTTTCGCAATTTTGCCCTCATCGTTCGGCTGCGAAGTCCATCAATGAACAAATCTCTGCCTACCTGTTCGCCTCGTTCTGTTTTCACAAACATCCTATAGAATCGGTTTCGATACTCGGTGACAGATTCGAGGGGTTTTTGAACTCGATCATTGATCATAAAAAGAGCCTGTTCGGGGTGGATGTAATCAAATCGGTTAAAGAAATCTCGCTCGAATGTCGGGAGATTAACCCATACATAGGTGTTAAACCAGTGATGGGCATCACCTCCCAATCATGCAGGGATGTTCACCTGTGCCTCGTTATCATCATACCGTTGAGCCCGGAGCGTGGCTAACCATGCTCCAGCGAGATGATGTGCAGGGTCAAATAGATAAAGGTCGGGTGGCGTCATAGGAGCCCGTGCTCGTGGTACGGGTTGATTAGGATTCTGTTGGGGATTCGGGTTCTGTTGGGGGTTCTGCTGATTAGCATTCATATTGACCGTCCGTCGAGCCGCAAACCAACTTCTGGTGACGACGGGATCACGTCGATGCGCGTTCCTGGGTCGATGTCGTACCCTGTTAGCCAAATCGCCTAGCTATGAGTTCTAGACCCCTGCCACGTGTCGGGCTTTGATACCAACCTCACGCCCAACGCGACTTCCTGATCGGAGTGAGATGTGGGCCTGGAAGTGCGAAAAGGGGTGTGCCAAGGATTTTTGGGAAAGTGGGGGTGGAGTCTGAGGTCGAAACTGAGATCTCCTATGGCAGAGTTTCAGGGGCATAGATGCAATAGAGCTAAGGGGGGCAAGTTCTTCAGGTCTGTTGGCGTTCGATATCGTGCAGCATAAGCCAGATGGCATGCGCGGTGCATTCAAGGTCGTCCGACCCGTCTGTTTTCGGGGCGGCGGTTCGGGGAGAGGCCCGCCCGAGATAGTTGTGTTCCCTATGAGTCGGACCATTGGATGCAGACACGTGGCGTCTGTCGTCGCGCGTTTGGGTTAGGCCTTTTAGTTTCAGGGGCTCGTTGGTTGCCGCGTCGTCGGCAATTACCGCAAGGCGTGCGGGGCCAATACGGGGCGATGGAATTCCACGGAACCACCGTGAGTTGGTGATGCGGGAGGAGGAGACGGAAGAGAGGGAAATTGGTAGAGATGACGACGAAGCTGGAAGATATGAAGTATTGTGTGTTGTCCGAAGTTGGAAAGTCGGGCCACTGCGGATCACTGGTTGTGGCACGGTGAAACTCCCTGGGGCACAAGCGATTCTCTGTTAGGCAGGGGAATTCCGGGTGTCTTTGCTTAATACATTCTCTCACCCAAGGGTCGAAGTACTCCGAGTCCCAGGAGCTCGGCATCTTATCATTGCAGGGTGACGAAACTCTTCTGCACGCATCTAACCGGCAAGGGACTTTCCGATGTGATATCAGAATCTCCTGTTCGTTTAGGTGCGTGGGGAAAGTTCCCACCTACCCGATATCGAAGGTGTCGAGTTCGTCAATGGTCGCGAATCGGTGCACGTGGATACGTGTAGGCTGCGCAGATCAGGTCGCGCTTACACGCATCCCCGCGAGGACAAACAATTACCCAATCATCTAATCACTCCGTGATCCCGTATACAATCGTTCCTGAACATGCACGGTGCTACTACACATCACGCATTGCAGCAACAATTAGTGGCTAAAAAAAAAGGGATAAACAGCAATAGAAGCAGTATTTACGACTAAGAAAAAGTTCCTACTATGCTCATGAGTGTATCACAATGACAAGCAAAGGCAAGGGTCTGGCAAAAGAAGATCAAAAAGCATAACATTCATTCATCCATTCATTCGACAAAACACACAACAAACGAGATCGAGATCGGTCGCAAAACGAGTGTGGGCGGAAACCAAGCCAAGATTCTGAAAACAAAAGGAAACGGGCGAATCGCCCTGAGCCGAGATCAAAATTTATATACAAAAGCAAGGAGGGAGACGAGACAAAGAAAATTGCAAACCACGTCCATCAACCTCAGCTCCCTCTTCCTCTCTCTCTCTCTCCGATGCAGACAGTCCGTCGTCATGCACCAACCCACGAAGTCGTCACCCCGCTTAGTCCTCCTACACCCGTCAGGTTCGCACGCGCGCTACAGTCCGTCGTAGCCCCACGCGTCAACCCCGCGCATTCGGCACCAGCTCATCAGGTCGCACGACTTCCACTTCACTCACCTCTTACTTCGCTCGTGAGCCGACCCTCACTGATCGTGCTACCCCGAGCTTCCAACAG